TTCAGTGACTAATTTTCTAGCATTAATGCCTGTCACATACAAGTTCTTTTTCTCCAAAATAACGCAGTGGTACTTGTATGTGTGGGGAGTAGCATACCTGTGCCACTGTGAATGCTTTTTAGAACTCTTCTGTTATCTGAGGATGAACTGATAGCAAATATGCTAAAAGATCTCACTGGGGCGTGTGAGGAAGTGATACTTCAGTTGTTGGCAGGGAGCTGAACACCATACAGCCCTTCCTCTCTCCCCCCAGTGGGCTGGGGAGAGTATCAGAAAAAAAGACAAAAAAAAAAAAAAAGGTAAAAATTGGGGGGTTGGGATAAAAATAGTTCAATAAGCAGAAAAGGAAGGGAAAATTATAATCTGTACACACACAAAGCAAGTGGTGCACAATACAATTGCTCACTTCTCCCCCCCACCCCCCCCCCCCCCACCCCCAAGCTGTTATTGCCAGCACAAGGAGCTGCAATGGCCTTAACTCTGGGGGACACTACTCCGCAACAACCAAAAAACATTGGTGTGTTATCAGGACTATGTTTCTCTGAAAACCAAAACAGGGCACACAACAGTCCCTATGAAGAAAATTAATCACTTCAGCCCAAATCAGGACACTGGTCTCCCAGAGTTTTTTTGTTAGTATTAAAGAGGAAGGGAGAATAACATTATTAGTTTTTCTGCATTGCTATTAAGCTGTTTGGAAGTCCTAAGAACACCCATGAAACAGTTTATCACTTTCAGTAAGAAAAAGGAGCAGGGACAAAAGGTAACCCCATAGCTTCTTCTTTAGCTCAGAAGCTGACACTACAGAATGAGGGAATGAAAATCTGTCTGTTGACTTACATAATCATCATGCAAGTCTCCTGTTTTTCAGAAGAGTCACTACTTCCAATTACAGTATTTCTTGATAATTAAGGGACTTTATTGTAATTCTTGTATCCTTCTAATATGTACATTAATGAGGTTAGCTCTTTAGAGACAAGCTTTACCATTTAAAATCTACAAGATTCTGAGCCTCTTTTCTTATCCTAAGGAATTTTGAAGCACATAGTTACATAGTACCTGTTAATCAGAAGATCCTTCAAGGTACAAGACTACGGTCCTTCAAAGACATAAAATAGACACTAAATCTCAAAAAAGCCCTAGAAAACCACTTGCTTTTGATGTTAACAAACCACCAGTATGATATTCAGAATGCTGCTGGTTTCCATAATGTTTTGTTAAACCAAAAGCTAAACATGAAGTCATTATGCATATATCTAGCTGATGAGCTTCAAGCATGAAGATATTTTTCAATGACTAATTTATGTGAATTGGTTTGTAATGATGCTCAGTAATTCAAACCCAAATTTCAGGGCATTGGTAGCCTGACAAGTTGCCTTTGACAAAATCCAAGTCTTTTTTGAAATGGCTTTGAATGGTTGACATAAATCTTATCCCAAAAGTATCAAAGCAATTTTCACATGAAAGTGTAAAACAGCAACAAAGAGAACTTCAAAAACAGGATGGAATCAAATACAAATCTTTCATTTCCAATTGCAAAACTCATTTCTTTAAGTTAGCTTTTCCTAAATAATTCAAACATATACAAAAGTGCCAGCTGAACTCTACATACAAGGTTCCTACTAACTGATGTTTATTTTTTCTGCAATCTGCAAGAGTGACAGCGTAGCAGTTATTTCTGTTTTAAATATTTGAGGGGTTCTTACACATAATAGCAGACCTAGCTATAAAACCAAGAAAGACAAGATCATTTCAAACTGAATTGTTAGCTGCATGCTTCTTATTTGTAAAGGACTTCTTAATTATGGTTTTGTGACCCAAATTACCCTTTTTCCCCCCTCCACAATCTAAGTAGCTGGGCAATTAGGTTAACAGTCATGCTACCTGGGTATAAGAACATCAAGAAATATCTCTGTTCCTGTTGCATATTATTACTATGTTTGCGATATGTTTGGTAATGAGAAAAATAAATAGGAGAAGCATATGATTATTTCTGTAGTTTAACTTGCATTTTTCTAAAACCTGTAATGTACAGGATCTCAAAGAGAAAAACGTGTTACTGAATCTAAAAAATCAAAACACATGAAAGTCTTTTAATACAAGGCACAATCAGACATGTTGAATTCGAGTGTCTGTCAACTGAATCTTACACATATTTCCTTTTTGTCTACTTAGCATCATTGGATGCAATAACGGAGAGAATGCATCAGCTCAAAACAACTCCATTTTTCCCAATGTGTTCTGTGACACTTGCTCTAAGGCAAGACAGCTCAGCACAGTTTGCAGAAAAGTGTAAACAAAAAATCCCACAAAACCCTGAAATTTAAATGATAATCCAGTCCCTTTCAAAGCTCCTCAAGACCAAACTACCAACACTACTAAAGAGCAACAGCTCTTTACACAAGACTAAAGCATATCCCCCTGTGCCTAGCATATATAAACCACACAACTGAAACCATCTTCGCACATTTTCATAATTTCTAATCTATATGAATGTTGAAGACTCCAAAACCGAGATGAAAGTTCACTGACTTCAAGGGGTGTAAGCCTTCTACTTCGAATTCATTTTACAATTCTGCAGGGTTCTCAGCTCTCTGTTTATGCAAGTTTGTTCCCAGAGGAAAAACCGGAATGAAGTCCCACAACAAATACACACTATAAAAGCAGTAGCAATCCTAGTACAACAGCCTCCTGTCTAAGGGAACGCAACACATTAATCAAATCAACAAGTATTTACTGTCTAGACATTTACTATGCACTGTTTTGTAGTTTCGGGGCCTAGGCCACTTATTCTGGGCTGCACTCCGAAACCAAACCTGGTGCCGCTGGCAGGGGATCAATGATGCCATTACACACAAACCACACACAAAAAATCCAGCTCTGTAGAAAAAGAAAAAAAAAAAAAAAAAAGAAATACTTCTGTTTCTTCTTTTGGGAGCCTTGCATAATTCACTTCTCTACCCACTCTCTTCCAGTAGCTTATCATTCTGTAGATGATCAGAGGTGACAGCACTAGTCATCCCTTTTCCAAATTGCAGTCTCGGCCTAATAAGTCATCCTATGTATGGAAACCCTGCCATACCATACCTCATTCCTGTTTCTTACCTATGAAGCTTTTTCAGCTCCAGTACCCACTCTCCAAGTCCAGGTGACCAAACTCACATAGAGCACCTGAGATGTAGACAAGCCCTGGATTACGCAGAGTTACATTATCCTTTACTGCTTTCCTAATGGTCAACCAGCACTTGATTTTTTTATTATTTTTTCTTTCACTCCTATTCAGCCCTGATCTGGCTTTTTTATGGAACCACTTATTATTACAGTTCTAGAGCATGATACTGGACTTTCTTCCTCTTAGTTCATTAGTTAGTGCTCCCCCTTACTACCTGGAAGAAGCTGTAAAACTTTACTCACTGTTCAGACCCCCTTCCATGTTATTTATAAGTGTGCTCATACCGGTGTTGTACAGCACAAGCCCATTGGTAAGCTTGACCAATTTTAAGAACAACCTATTGTAAGGACTGAATGATAAGAAACACCCATTTATTCCTATTCTGCATTCCCTATCATTTAACAGTTATTTAAACATCTATGACCTTCCCCCTCTAATGCCCTGGCAGCTCATTTTAAAAGTTCTGTGAGAAATTTTGTCAAAGCCTTTAGAAAACCTAAGCAGAATATGAAATCATAGTGCATTAGTTGTCTCCTCCCATGCCAAAGCTAAGAATAGTATATCATACGTCATTCATTGAGGTGTCTGCTGTGTATCTAAACTCTCCTGGAATACCTAGTAATTGTTATAATTTAGCTGAATTCTCAGGGAAAGAATAATCAGTCCTCTGAAAGACATTGATATTTTGTTGTTGTTGTTGTTTAAAGGTATTCAAACAATCCCGCTTATGCTCTTGTTATTTCCCTTTCTTACATTCAATAGCAAAAGACAGAAGGGCATGGTACATGACATAGGCAGAAGGAGACAGTGTGTCTTTCTGCTTCTGGGAGTAGGATAATTGAATTACAGAATGGCTACTTAAAGAGGTTCCCCAGTTGCTATTGCTACACAGTTAACTCTGATCTCCAGAAGCAGAGATGGAGCTGGGACACAAACCAAAGGCACTGAAGTGCAGTACTTCATATACACTTTTATAACTATTATAGCTATTTTTAATTTACATTACTGTATGCATTATCCTTTCATGACTGAAACCAAGAAAATAATTGGCAGGTGACAGAGTCTTTCTTTGAACCCTCAATGAAAACATCAGGTGTCCATGGTTTGGCTATTAGCTTTGAAGTCATTTCAGGTCTGTAAAACACAGTTAGTTCATTAAAATGTAATTAAGTGATGCCAATTCAGAAAGGGTAAAATGCTATTCTTAGTTCATTCTCACATTGAATTAGAGATCTTAGACTGGGTATTATGCATATATCTTTATTACAGAAAAGTAAGAAGCATAATTTTTAAAAAATAAAAAAGGTGATTCAAGATACTTAATAATCTCTATCTACCAATTTAAATACAATTCCTTACCTCTCACTTAAACTTGTAAAAGCTCTAAAATTTGCTCATTTAAGCCTTCTAACATTCCTAAGAGTGCTACTTTTTTTTTCTTTGCAAAGTTTAAACATGTTTTTTGGGAAAAAATGTTATAAGATGTCAATGAAGGAATCTACCAAAGCTTGTATTTCTCATATACACATTATCAGTATGTAAGTACACATACACAAGTTCAACATATCTAAATTTCCAATATACACAAACTTCAGAAAACATTCTCCAATTCATATTCTCAGCTAACCAGCAGCCAGTATGTTTTGACAGTTAAACCTTCCCGTAAGTTTCAGCACAATCTTTGTAATTAAGCAGTATAAAGTTAATTCTGTTGAGAAAAGCTACTGGGCCATAGCCTTTTCGAAGAGGCTACCACCATCGTTCCCAAAACATTGCTCACTACATACCAGCTAAAAACCCCGTAACAACATTGCGATCAGGCACTTACCCCATACTCCAACACGTAGGTAGCTTTTCTGGTGCAGTGGCTTCTTACTGCTAGGAAGAACAGCCAGACCTGTAACAAGACTGTTTGTTATCCATGTGAAAGCACAGGACTTCACACGTGCACACATGACATACCCCACACAAGTTAAAATTTCTGTTCAAACTTGTAGCAATATCAACCCCTCCAATGTATTAATCACAATCTCTCATATAATGCAGCTGCAAAAGGCAGCAAAGCCTTAACAATTAGCTTTTAGGTTTTCCACCACTAACAAGTCTTTTACAGCTGTATTCAATAACTTTTGGGTGTGGAGACAGGACTCTGCTTAAATAATGCCAACCATATGTTACAGTTAACTCCTCTATTGCTTATCCATTGATATCTATCTGTAATATTAACAATAAGACAAATTTTCCTTCCAGTACAGGTTTAACATCACATGGTCTCATCCTGAATACCTACTTCAATTGCATTAACAAACACTGAATAAGATTTTAATTTTAAAAGTATAATACAAATAGCATGCTTCAGCATCCTTCTACCACACAGTTTACTCCACACAATCACACACAATTATCTCAGAAATACTGTTTCAGAACTTAGATCAAGTTTCCCAAGTTAGCTTTTAAAGTCGGCTTACTTAAAAACAAACAAACAAACAAACAAACAACAACAACAACAACAACAAAAACAGGAGTAATTCAAGTAAACATGCAAGTACTTATTTGGACCTGGATTTCAAAACTGCAGAGAGGTCTATAGATTTACCTCTGCTTGATCAGAGTTGGAGGCCTTATGCCTCTAGTTTTTCCAATTTAAGAACTATGCGGTGACAGCTATTTTGTACTGGATACTAAATCTAAATGGTCAAATTAAAAAAACATCTTTCCTAGAAGTACTGAAGAGGATATAGTCAACATGCAGCTGTATCTTTTTGTTTTGTACTTATAAACTGGCAGCAGTTTATAATCCAGGTACAAATACAAAGAATACGTAGAACATTAAAGGTCTTCAGATTTTCACATACTTAATAAATGCCCTTCTTCCTCAAAAAGACAAGAAAAAAAAAAGAAAAAAGAAAAAAAAAAGTTCTGGAGTACAGGAGTGCCGAGGAAATTAAAGGAAGACAGGATTTTCTTTAAAAGAAATAAATAAATAAGTAAAATGCAGACACCATGCTAACACAACTCTATTTCTGCATCTGGCTGGCAGTTAAAACCCCATGACCTTCTGTTTGATTTTAGTCATAGGCTTTCATCTCTCGAAGCAACATGGCACAAGCTATGGGTACTGGCTTATTAACGTTCAAGTCATTGTTAAAAGAAAACTCCTACAGAGCACAAGCCGATGCAAGCATGAACTCTTCAAATTGTTTACAAAAAGTACCTATACATGACAAAAAAAATTAAAAAGCCTGACAACAAAACTGACACCTAATTTATTTTTGAACATTTTAGCCCTCTTTTCTAAGAAACAAATAGTTCCCCAAATTGTTTGGGAGCAGAGGTGCTACAGCCCCATTCTCTTACATCTGTGCCGTTCCGCAGTTTCACGGTTCCAGGAGTGTGGAACCCCCAGTACAAACTGCCTGCCAGTATCTCAGGTCACTGCTAGCTACAAACAAAGCCCCAGGAAGATCTGCCCCTTGTCAATTGTCAACTTATCTGTCCTTCATTTGGGAATTAAAAGCCATTAGGTTATATCTCTTGTTCTTTTATGAGAGGAATGTGTAAGTAGCACTCCCATGCCACCATAAAATAGTGCTTCTTTGGCTTACAGCATCTGTTCTACACATCTGATCTCTTAAAAGCATATGCCCTTCGCGCCAATAAAGTTTTGACCAGATTTTAACCCTGTAATTCTCTGTTAACAAGGAGAAGGCCTTGTACTTTCTGCACAGAATTTGGGACATCAGAGTTCATTTTGAATCTTCATAGCATTCTCTTATGTGACCAACTGGAAGCAATTTAATTTGTGTCTTTTATTTGGCTAGCATTGATGTCACCAGTTTAGTTTGAATCAGTTACTTTTGAGCAACTGTCCATAGTCTCATGTTCTGGTTTGCACTGCAGAGAAGTTGCAGAACATGTGGAAACTAAACAACACAACTTGCACAAGGAAGATACGTAATGTGCCATAGCTTCTGTTAGGTATTCAGGCCACAGAACCAAACTAGAGCTAGTCTGAAGTAAATCTCCAGCAGTTACCAGGGTGAATATTGAGTCCATTGCATCAAATATTCTTACCGCAACAACGAGACACAAGCAACATTTTTAATATTGGTTAAATTGAATTTAAGAGAAATTGCTGAACTGCTTCACATCAATCAAGGAATACCCTGGCAATAGTCAGAACAGAACCCATAAGCCTTGACTGTTAACCTGAAGCTCTGGCAAACTCACAAATAAGAACAGAAATTTGTCTTTTTAAGAGTGACTTATTAAATACATGATGAGTCATTTAAGAGGAGTATTTCTGTAGCACTTCCAGGTGCTTAATTTTCAAGTACAAATTACTATTCTGTTATATGAGTGCATGCTGAATTTAATCTTATGGTCTTTAGTGTGACAATGCATAAGCAAGTATTATTGAATAATCCAGGTAGCATTAAATTCAAGAACAGCTAGAAGTGATTATAAAAACGGAATATTTTTGAAAAATCAATTGGAATAACGACAATATTTTTGACAGAAGTACGCTGTCAGAGTAGTTATATACAGAAGTATCAGAAATTTCAGTACTACAGAAAGTCAGTTCTGAAAGCAACCTAAATCATGGACAACAGAAAAGAGCTCTACATGGATGCTCTGTATATCTTGCCTTACAGTCAAAAGAAACAGAAGTACTAAAGGATTTTCTTAAAACTCATCGCCTGAAAAATGAGAATTATTTAAGAAATCAGTATCTGTAAATTAAGGAACATTATCTATTTTAATATGTATATTGTCTTATCAAATGAATATAATCATCATATCAAATGTTTTATCATACCAAATGTAGTCTAAATACAGATTTAATAATCAAAATAATGGTACTTTTCATTTAGACCTGGATAAGTAAAATACTTATATAAGTAAAGTAAATTTAAGTAAAATACTTAAAGTATAACCTATGTGTAATGAACTGATCTGACCCACAAGATCAGTGATCTGATATTCATAATTTACAAATGCATTTAAATAAATAACATCTCTGGGACTCCTAAGTTCAAAGTTGAATAGAATCATAGAATATCCCGAGTTGGAAGGGACCCACAAGGATCATCAAGTCCAACTCCTGGCACCGCACAGGTCTGCCCAAAAATTCAGACCATGTGACTAAGTGCACAGTCCAATCTCTTCTTAAATTCAGACAGGCTTGGTGCAGTGACTACGTCCCCGGGGAGCCTGTTCCAGTGTGCAAACACCCTCTTGGTGAAGAACCTCTTCCTGATGTCCAGCATAAACCTCCCCTGCCTCAGCTTAACACCGCTCCCATGGGTCCTATCACTGGTGATTACAGAGAATAGGTCACCTGCCTCTCCACTCCCCCTCGCGAGGAAGTTTTAGACTACGATGAGGTCCCCCCTCAGCCTCCTCTTCTCCAGGCTTAACAGGCCCAGTGCCCTCAGCCACTCCTCATACATCTTCCCCTCTAGGCCCTTCACCATCTTCATCGCCCTCCTCTGGACACTCTCCAACAGTTCAATGTCCTTCTTGTACTGTGGTGCCCAGAACTGCACACAGTGCTCGAGGTGAGGCCGCACCAGCGCAGAGTACAGCGGGACAATCACCTCCCTCAACCGCCTAGCGATGCCGTGCTTGATGCACCCCAGGACACGGTTGGCCCTCCTGGCTGCCAGGGCACACTGCTGGCTCATATTCAACTTGCTGTCAACCACAACCCCCAGATCCCGCTCTGCAGGGCTGCTCTCCAGCGTCTCATCACCCAGTATATACAACATCCATACCTTTCCATATAGAGTAGAAGATAGATATATGAAGTACGTGACTGTAAGGATACAGGTTATTTAATGGTAAATGTATTTTGAAGTGTGACATCCACCATCCATTAAAATAGCATAAATTATCTCACATCGTTCCCTTCAGCTGGTGGAGAAGTCTTTAATGGAAAGTCAAATATACTTATGAAAAAAGCTTTTAAGCAAATCTTTAACTGGCCCTGCTGGATAGCACTTTATAGAGTTGAACACAAGTGGCATTTTTACATCCTTTGCAGTGATAGCCATTATGTTTCTCTTGGCCTATTCATAAGATTCCCTTATCATTATGAGCAGTGGTAAGGTGTTTCAATTCCTCTTTTCTCTGCATCACCTTTATTTGTTTTTGAATAACCACAGAACAATTTTGCTTTCTTACTTGTTATTTCTATTATTTCTTGGCCAGTCAGTTGCCCTTGCCCCTCTGCAACACCACTAATGTCCTTATAAGATAACAAGAATAGCATTTCTCCAATGCAGCTTTCCTCAAACATTGTGGTGCCTCAGATTCCAAAGCTATACAGAAAAACCACAAGTCTCTGTGTAGTGACATGATGCACTGCACAAACCATACCACAAAGTAGAAGTTATCAAGCTATTATTACCTACTTCCAGTAGGGAGTAATACTGAGCAGCAATTCCTGGGGCAGACCTGAGCTAGAACTCAGCCAACAACAACAAGGAATGTATTACTTGAATGTGGAATCCCAGTGCCAGTCAATCACTGGGGATTAAAGATTAAATTCAAGCAGAAAGATGGATGTTAACAAAAAGCAACAGAAATACATAACAGTCTTTTATCAGATTTTATATATATATATATATATATATGTATATTTAATTATATATTATATAATATATTTACAAAATATAAATAATATATATAAAAATAGATTTAAATTATCTATTTATCTGTAGACTTCACAGAAGTGAAACCTGTAACTGTTGAAATAAAACAAAGCACAGACTGCAAAAGATTCATCATACAATCTTTGCTTTCAGTTATTTATCTAAACATAATTTCGGTGTAGCTTCTGCATATTTTTAAAAATAGAATACAAGGATATATTTGTCAATAAAGAAACAACTTTAAATGTTTATAAAAGCCTAATTAAAGAAACACTTTCTTAGTAATCATTAAAAAAAAATAACACCTTGGCATTAAAAAACAACAGTTTCTGTAGA